GCACCTATGGAGTTCCGTACCAGCGAACCGACAACGGTGACCGTCTCCTACAGTTCTGTTCAGATAATCATTTGTTTCTTGTAAGCACTAACTTTAAACACAAGGAGAGACACTGTTTAACCTGGCGACCCCCATCATCAAACCAACGCTGGACACAAATAGACCACATAGCAATAAGCTATCGTTGGCGTGGGTCGGTAGGAGATTGTCGCTCCTTCTGGAACACGTGTGTAGATACCGATCATGCACTGGTCCGGGCTCGTGTGTGCTTACGACTGAACGGACGTAGGAAACAGCTGGCGGTAAAACCATTACGCCCCCAGCTCGATCAGGAAACTAAATCCCTATTTGAGGAAGAACTAGCTAAACGCATATCTGAATCCGACAGCTGTGCTCACCCTGGAGAAGCCTGGAAGAATATTCAGTCAGCTATAGATACAGCTGTAAAAGCTGTGAATAAGACAAATCCAAAGGTGAGTAAAAACCACTGGATTTCGACTGCCTCATCCGAACTGATAGATGCTAGAAGACTTATTCCGGCGAGCTCCGAATTCAATGAGGAGCGAAAGCTGCACAAAAGGAAACTTACTAAAAGTCTCCGCAAAGACCGTGAACAGTGGTGGGTGACAAAGGCGAAAGAGATGGAAAAAGCATTGGCGATAGGCAACACTAGGCAACTCTTTAGACTCATCACAGAATCGGGCGGGAAAAGGCAATTCATAAGTGAGACTATTTCTGAGAAAAATGGCTCCTTAATTAGCTCTCAGGATAGACGCCTTGAACGCTGGAAAGAACACTTTGAGGAACAATTTAACTTGCCTACAGCCACACTGAACCTCCCCGCCATCCACCACGTACCCGAATGGGATATAGACACTGGTCCGCCGTCTGTAGGTGAGGTTACAAAAGCTATCAGTAATTTGAAACGAGGCAAAGCGGCAGGACCCGACGGAATTATTCCGGAGGTGTTTAAATATGGGGGTGACATACTAGTTTGTAGATTAACTGAGGTACTAGGCAAAGTCTGGGAATCAGAGACAGTACCATCAGACTGGGGTAAGTCACTCATTATACCGATATTCAAGAAGGGAAACAAGTCCTCGTGTGATAATCATAGGGGGATCAGCCTAACGAACATAGTCTCTAAAATCCTAGGCTCAGTAATCATGCATAGACTAAGCAGAACTCGGGAGGAACAGACAAGGGAAAATCAAGCAGGCTTTAGACCAGGTAGAGGGTGCATAGATCATATCTTCACTCTTCGACAGATTCTAGAACATAGACACACTTTTCGGCGTCCAACAATTGTCATATTTCTTGACTTGAAGGCGGCCTTCGACTCCGTGGACCGAAAAGTACTATGGCAATGTCTGACTGTGAAGGGAGTGCCAAGAAAGTACATTGCACTAATCAAGGCACTCTATTCAAACTCACGTAGTCGTGTAAGGGCTTATGGGGAATTGTCATCTGAATTAGTAACAACCAGTGGTGTCCGACAGGGATGTCCACTTTCCCCATTTCTGTTTAACTTCATCATAGATATGCTAATGGAAGTATCCTTAACTGAACGTAGTGACTTAGGAATCGACTTGTTACCAGGGAATAATCTAATGGACTTAGAATATGCAGATGACATAGTCCTGTTAGGGGAGGATGCTGACAAAATGCAGAGTCTTCTGAACACCTTGAGCAGCAATCTTCGTATGTTTGGCATGCGATTCGCCCCTGCAAAATGTAAGATGCTGCTACAGGACTGGACGACGTCAACCCCTAACTTAGTGATAGGGAGTGAAGTGATAGAACATGTTGACCACTTCACCTATTTGGGAGGTTGTATTAGCACCAACGGACTGATTGGCGATGAAATCTCAGCACGGATCCGAAAAGCTCGAGCTGCTTTCGCTGACTTACACCATCTCTGGCGTAGGCGTGACATCCGGTTATCAACCAAGGGACGTGTGTACTGCTCATCAGTTCGCTCCGTCCTTCTCTATGGCTCTGAAACATGGCCAATACGCGTTGAAGACATGAAAAGGTTGACTGCTTTCGATCATAGATGTCTGCGATCTCTGTCTCACGTTAGGTGGTATAATAAGGTAAGTAATGTTGACGTTAGGCGTAGAGTGTTGGGCAAAGAGGGAAAATCAATCGACGAGGTTATAAAGTTACATAGACTAAGATGGCTAGGTCACGTGGTGCGCATGCCTAACCACCGCCTCCCCCGACGGGCATTACTAGCTGATATAGGTGCAGGTTGGAAAAGAGCCAGTGGTGGCCAAACAAAAACATGGCATCAATCCATGAAATCCTTGACAGTTAAACTGAGTCAGGTAGGGAGATGCAGACTCCCGGGTTGGGGCCCTCGGGACTCTAGGAATCAATGGCTGGAGACAATAGGTGACATGGCTCAAAATCGTTGTCAATGGCGCAGATGTATTCAGTCTCTGTAATCTTTCATATTCCTTTCTACCATTACCCATTCTGTTTCACTCTTATATTTGTCAAACTCTATTAATTCTCTTCACTCATCTTCTTGTCTACCTCTGTGTGCTATTTGGAATGTGGCAACTCGAACTACTGCACTTCGGTGCCAAGTTCTATGTTGAATCCAGACAGACAGACAGACAGCCTGACTTAATGAGGCGAAAAAAATCATTTTGGGATGCACTATTTCTAATGACAACATAAAAGGAAGCAACTCGAGATAGTGGTCACTGATGAGAAAAACATTATCGTTGCTACGTTTTTGAATGTGCAATTATTTTGTAGTATTTCGGTATTGAATTCGGCCAGTTTCATTGTCATCCCTTGCCAGACAACCTTCAAGGCATACCAAGAACACAGGTATTCGACAAATAGATGTTGTTGTTCTTTATTATTTTTAAATCAACTAGGCAAGATAATTTCACAACATACTGAAGGAATTTACTGGGAATCCAGTGATACAATACCCTTTCAGGCTCTAGTCTGCACCGGTAAAAAAGAATAAGCAAGTGTTTGTATTCAGCGTCCATTTAATCGTTGGGGTACATATGCACGGATTAATGTATTGTCGCAGGTTAAACCCTGTTTAACTGACCAAAAGCCACAAACTTTACTCAAAGAATCTAGTGCACATATGAGGAATACAAAATGTGTCGTAAACAGTGGCAAAACACAAAACTGCTACTACTACTTTGACAGATGAGAAAGATGGGTACGTAGTACTCAGTGAGTATGCAACTACAACTATGAGCATAACATTCTAAGCAATATTTTCCCTACCTTTTCCTTATGTTTCAGTAGTCTGATACAAATAACATGAACGAACCATATCTGAAAGTCAGTCGAACTTTAAAAGAATCAATTTGGTTCTTAAACGTAAACATTCCAAATACTCGACCGTAGTCTCTATTTAACGTGGAAGTGGCATCTAGCTACAGAGATAATAGATGTGTGAAAACATAAATATGAATACCTTAGTGAGGAGCATTGATATAACATAATATTATATATATATATATATATATATATATATATATATATATATACAATTGCCCCAGACATTAAGAACTATGCTAGGAAATAACAACCTTGAGTAGTGCTGGAATATGCGTGCTAAAAGCACCAAAGCTAACGCATACAATTGGCCTACAATTTATAGTATTCTGTAGATATCTAGAGAACAACCGGTTGTTATGAAAAACTGGATATGGAAGTTAAGTCGACGAATGTACGTCTTCTAACAGAATGGTAGGTGGCTGGGAAATGAACCTATGAGTGATGTTCAGGATATCTGATTAGTTTTGGTGCAATTAACAAAACGTAAGGTTCTGAGTAGTCGGGAATCATACTGAATAAACTAAGTCATCAACATAGACTTAGAAAACGATAAAAGCGGATGTGTTTAGCTTTATGCAGCAGAATTTGCAAAGGATATGTAAAACAATGCTACTCCTATCTGGCTGTCTAAATGACAACTGAGTCAAGAAGTATGTTACACCACAGGTGCTGTATTTATATAAACCTTAGGTATGAAAATGCGGTCTATTAACCACATGAGCTGCTTTTTAGAATAAGCCAGGGTGGAAATAATCAAGATGTCAGACAAATATTATCTTTATTGTGTGTGAATACATTAGCGTAACAGACTTAGGACAAGTTTGGTTACACTCTGACTTGATTTAAGAAACTACGTAAAGCATTCATATCGTGAAATTTGTGGCTAAACTATTTAAATATTAAATCGCCTCAAAAGTCAAAACACTTATATAGGGTTATTAGTAAAAACTGAAGCAAAATGATAAGTGGTAAAAGAATCTTGGTGTTACTTACATGAGTTGGATCACGTTTATCGAGAGCGATGATGTGGCAATCCTTCTTCCCAGTATCATCAGTGGCTAGAAATATTAAATTCCCGCAGTATGAGATTCCACATGTCCGAACAGGGTTATTTGTAGTATATGTGTTTAAGCATTGACCTGTGGACGAGAGAATAATGCAACTGCCACAAACTGACCAGTTTTAACATCCCATATCTTACAAGACCAATCAGCGGAGGCAGTTAATAGCATAGACGTAGTCCAGTCTACATCAAGCCACCACACAGCACCTTCATGTTGATCGTAGGTTCCCAATCTTTCTCCGTTTACACTGTACCAGACACAAACACTTTGGTTTTTAGCGGCAGTAAAGATAAGATCCCCATCTCGGTTGTATGCTATTCGGGTAATGGGTCTCTCATGACCATTGAGAATAATAGGTCTCTAAAGTAAATGCAATAACCTATCGAACACGTTTACCATGTTACGCAGATTTCAAACTTGGCGCGCCCAAATGAGACAGTTTAAACAAATTTAGCCATCGTTTGAAAAACAGAATTTGCATTAGGATGGCTTTTTCATCTTATTTGTATCTATTATTGATGATATTAACTGGTGTGGTTGATTTATACACCAGCTTTCATCTGTTGAGAAAATACACAGAGGGACAGTCATGATTGGTTACACTTACCTTAAGATTACGGAACTAGCGATATATAAACAGCCAGATGATCTATTTTACCGGGCGGCTATATTTTCCTGGGATTTAATGGGCATGCAAGGGAAATTATTATGTTTTTAGTATTTTATTTGAATTTCAAAATATTTTGTTCATATCTGCAACTTTTACCTGTAATTTCATGGGCAGATCAGATTGTCATTCGTACCAATTACGGAGCAGTTAGTGGAAAACAGAAATATGTACATGGAAAGAATGTTTATCAATTTTTAGGAATACCTTTCGCCAAACCGCCCATAGGTGATCTGCGTTTCCAGTATCCAAAACCGCCAGATCCTTGGAGTCACATACTGGATGCTACAAAGCCGCCCAAGACCTGCATGCAACCCTTGCCTGAATATCGTAAGTAGCAAAAAACTTTCGGTTTTCGGTTCTGTAATATTCATTACAAATAATTGTTATTAATTTTCGTTTGAGTTTCACACACTGAATTACAACAGAGATTTCACCTCATAGGAATAAAATTAAACACACTAGGGTTTATTTATGATAATATGCAAATTTACTGGGTTCGTTGTTATCTACCCTGTATGGCTATATTTGAGGCAGAATTTTGAGATTGGGTTCTCTGTGGTTCATATTATAGAGCCAGTCCTAGCAACTTGGTCTAGAACAGAACTGGATATAAGACCTTTCAAATGATAGCTTCATTTCGATGATAGCCTTTCAGACCTTTAAAATGTGGCAGAAAACATCACCTTTGTTATCTTTGCATATTAAAGTAGGAATTTAGTCCTGGTTCTTACATCGTGATTTCTGGAAGGTGTAGCAGATCTGTTCAGTTGAATATGATGTGGTCATACCCCACTCCCCTTGAGAGATTCCAAATAGTTTCCCATGAATAAATTTAATTTGCGTCTAAAGCCAAAGTACTCTCTTTCTCTTCTCACTAACAGAAAACACTGTCAAATCATTGAAAATACTAAGCTGAGGCACAGTGGTTAGGACTCTCGCCTACCATGCACATGGTCCGGGGTTCGAACCCTCGCCGACGCACACCTGATATCTATGGTCGGCCTGCGAATTTTGGGCCACCGATATCCACGCTGAAAATTCCATACTTGTACCAAAAATACGGTGTGGAATCAAGCTGTGATCAAAAATAAAAATAAAAATAAGGAGATTTTGTTTTAGTCTGCATGACAACTTGAAGTATACATGTTTTCTCTATGTAATAATAGTAGAACCTATGAGTTCATTACTGAATTTAAAGTTGTATTATCGGTAGTTAGCCATGTGCGTCAGTGGTACAGCGGTTAGGACTCTCGCCGACCATGCACACAGTGCGGAGTTCGATCCCCTGTCAACGCACATCTGATATCTATGGTCGGCCTGCAAAATATGGGCTACCTACAACACATGCTGAACATTTCATACCTGTACCAAAAATACGGTGTGGAATCAAGCTGTAATCAAAAATAATATTAATATTAGTTTGAAAGTAGGTGATCAGTTTTAAACCAACTGATTACAATAACCAATAGATACTCAGTGGTGATTGGTTTCGAAATGGATGATGCGTTCAAACTGAAGATAGTCATGTGATGTTTGCAATAGCCAGAAGCTTTGCAAATATATCAAGCTGAATTCCTGCTTAAAGTTTATCTCTGTACATGATGTATCTATGCTGAATTCTAGTTGATGTCTCCGAAGATTACAGGAATGGATGAAGAAAGAATTCCAGTAGCTCTAGTCGTCTACCTGATAATTATCATACTAGGTGGTATTCCACTATACAGATACATATTCTTAAGACTAAATTTCCTGAAATTCTCCAACCGGACAACAAAATATTACTTCTCATTCAATTAATGACTTCATATAATCCGTGAAGATACTACTGTATCTGATTTATTTGAACTATTCTAAGTACTGAGGATCAAAATAATCTCAGCTTGATGCCTAATAATGTTCAAATATATTTCAGCCCAAAATTTCCTTCATGAAGACTGAGTTTTCTTTTTTAACTTAAGGCTAACAGGATTTTTAAGACTAGTTTTTGTCCTTCTTTTTCTTTAAAATAGCTTAATAGTTTGACGAATAACTCTGCTTCGTATTTTAAGCTATATGTACTATATTCAATTCTCTGCAGAAATAACAAGAGACATAAATTTCTAACTATAAATATGGAATATAAAGCACGTTCATATCATTACTGCTTTCTTACACAGGAAATGAAGATAGTCTGAAAAAATAATAACAGTAGTAACCAAAACGTTTAAAAATTAGGACCTGTGTACTTCATTTAGTCATACTGATAAAAATAAAAAAGTGAAGATTGCATTGGAAGAAAGTAGAAAAGTTTTTACGAATTATTTCGTGAGCTGTTCAAAAATAAATTAAAGGACCAATACAAACCAAAGAGCATTGGACAGATGTTTTGTCCTAGTCTAGAAGCATTCATCAGAGACTTCCTGAAGCATGGACATTAGCTAGCTGTAGTAATTTATTGTAATTGTAATATTAGTATTTCAAGATGACCGAATTACAAGAATCCAAACAAAACACAGAGAGGGCCGAATTCAGGAATTTGTATTTAGCAGAATTATTATGCAATTCATATAAGAAACATATTAACAATCAACAGTAAGTATTTAAACAATACAGAGATAGAAATTGTCAATCACCACATCCGCCACACGTCGAATGTCTCCTTGCGTACTTATAACGATGTCTCGGTTTGCTTGCAAGTAGCTGCGACCTTCTAACTGATTCTGTGATATTATTTCCATCAGTATCATCTGGACTTATTTCTGAATTATCTATAAAATCAGGATTAGTAGCGGAATCATTAAAATTATAATTAGAACAACCTACTTCATTAATTGTCACTTTGTCCAGGTGTATGTTATGAACTGAGTGATCTTTGATGTTTACTATCTTCACCAGTCGATTTCCCGTTTTTTGTAGTATGATTCCAACAGAAAGTCTATAGTCATTCCCTCTGTAATAATGTGCATTAGAAGTCGTGGACATCAGATGCTTTCTGAGAATTCGAGATTTGAAAAGTTTTGCAGGACTTTCACGGGTACTTGTATGCTCTGCATTCAACAAACTCAGTCTATGCATATGCAGCAATTCCTCCATTTTAATCAGTTGCTCTCTCATCTCATTCAGGTCTTTTCGTGTTTTCGACAGTTCACATTGTAACTCAGCTACCTCATTTTTGAAAACAGTTGACACTTGAGTTGCCGAACTTGTAGTGGAGGTTTTCATTGGATTAGCTTGAGTATTTTGAAAGGTTGAAAGACACATTGACTCCATTTTTCTAGACAGCTTGGGAGAATTATAAGAATGTTGAGCAACATAAGTATTCGAACTTCTGCAAACAGTCTTGATGTGTCCAACTTTACCACATTTATGGCACTTAGCACCCCGAAAACGGCAAGTGCTTCGTAGATGTAACTTTCCACAGGATAAACACGGTTTAATGTTTTTGATCTCTGGCTGCATTCTATTACCTGTGGACGGCAGTTTGGATTGCTTTCCATGACCACTTGTATTTTCGACTTTAGAAAGCATAACATCAGATACTGACGTAGTGGGAGCAGAGTATTCATTATGGACATCTTCATATGTAATACATAAATCTTTAGCAGTTTGAAAAGTACAAGAAGGAATCTGAATTAACTCTTTCTCTAACTTCGGAATATTGATTCCAGCAATTAGACGATCACGTAGTTGAGTATGCAGCTGATCTCCAAAGTTACACTTTGAAGCTTGTGTTTGGAGTTGAAGAATGAAGTCTCTAATCTTCTGGTTGGGAGCACGAACCAGTTTATTGAATTGAGCCCTATCTCTGGTCTCAAAAGTAGTTACATGAAAGTGATGTATCAGAAGTTCACGGATCTTGTCATATGACAGAGAAATGGGTTTATCTGGAAACGCCAGAGTCTTCACTAGGCTATACGCATCTAGCCCAATAGTAGTGATGAAATGTGCTGGTATTTTGTCATCCCGAACATTCTTTGAAATGCACCACGCATCGAAGCATTCCAAATAATCAGCAATCTCCCGCGGAGTAGCATTTATAGGAAAATTTCCCAGGTTATTTAGTTCCATCGCGACGCCAATTTGTAGTAATTTATTGTAATTGTAATATTAGTATTTCAAGATGACCGAATTACAAGAATCCAAACAAAACACAGAGAGGGCCGAATTCAGGAATTTGTATTTAGCAGAATTATTATGCAATTCATATAAGAAACATATTAACAATCAACAGTAAGTATTTAAACAATACAGAGATAGAAATTGTCAATCATCACACATTCATCAGAGACTTCCTGAAGCATGGACATTAGCTAGCTTCGTCAAGTTTTGACACCAACACATCACCTTTCATTCAGTACATTAGTATGAAACTGCTAAAGCTTTCTATCTCCTACCAATTTGGTGATATCATATAACCATTTGATTCCGTTGTTTGATTGAAATGATAAGGTGACTTCCTGAAAACCTGATAGTCTTGAGCTCAATCCCTTGTGAGGTTTTAGGGATTCCACACTGACGAGTAATCTCAAACTAAAACGAAACGGCTGTTTTTTATGGTGTATTTTATGATGGTTGTTCAACTAAATTCCATACTTGTACCGCAAATACGGTGTGGCATCAAGCTGTATCAAAATATATAAAAAATACAAATACTGCCAATGGGTTCTGTTGCTAAAGTCCAGTTAATCGGAATAGATTTTTTATGAACCAGATTATGAGCCTCAGCCAGTGCTTGTGTATGTATGAGGAGAAATGATGCAATTTATCTGTCCTGGCTGAAGGAAGTATACTGGGATTTGAACCCAGGATCCACTACCTAGAAGCTAACTGTTGAAACTGACTAACTACATCTGACTGATTCTACCGTAAGTTAAATCAAATTCCCATAAACGCAGCAGTTAAGCTTTTTTTAAAAATATCCACATTTACAAGAGTTGATTGAAATTTATTATTAATAGGAAGTCGTTTTTCTATTTACCCTACCATATATTCTTTGTGTGCTCTTGCTTGCTTTGCCTAGCACTATTTTCATGACATAAAATACGTGACAAGTATGGTATCATAGAATTTTTATACTTAGACGTGCGGGCATACAGTTTCCTGAAGTTACTCCTTGTTCTACCTGAGGAGATGCAAGGTGAAAGCTAAGGGTATAGTGGATGCTCCAAGTCAGACAAAATCCCTTTAGCGAATTTATTGCACGAAGTCAAGTGCCTATCGACAACTATGTTAACTATGTGGTCCACTGGGACACCACTCACCCTACTGTTTGACAGTCTTTAGCATTCAACTCAGTGTAGTACCAGTTAATATTTTTTGTTATTTTAGACAAAGTTAACAGTAAGTAT